AATCCTACTGAAATTGCACAAGAGTTCAGTGCTCAATTCCCTTAGGATTTTTTGAGCAGGTGGAATATATATATCTAAGCCAATGGAAAGGACACCAGACTCTCATCCCCACCTCTATTTAAGGACTGCTAGTGTGAATAACCTTGGATAAAGTGAAGTTGAGAACCTGATTAATTCTGCTTGCCATTCAAGCTTGCATTAAATAAGACATGAAAATCCAGACAGAAAGCCAGCCATTCTTCTGTTCTAACAGTTTGCTGTCAAGGCAGGACAATAAAATATGAATATTTTAGATTCATAATGCAGACAAATAGGAAATAGGAGCTGTATTGTGCTTCACATGCATGGCTAGCTCAGTAATGCTAATGTGATTATCTCACTGAACTTTTGTGCCATTGCTTAAGCATGGCTTTGTCTTGCTTAGCTGGGATATACATATTTGTTTCTTCTACACACAGGCCTATAGTCCTTTTTAAGTTTGTAGAAATAAGGAAGCCTGATTTCCCTCATCTGTCACAAGGTAGCCTCCTTCCTTGGTATTGCATGGCAGTTCCACAGCCTGAATGAAATTTCTACAGATTCCCACCAAAATATTTAAATGTCTTCAGGTTGCTTTCCAGACAGAAGCATGGGAAAATCACATGAACATTTGAAGTATTGTGTCTGTAATGGAGACATGAGTAGGATAATAAAACCAATAAATGCTCAAATGCAGTCCCCTCCCCAAGCAAAAAAACATTTTCAAGGTTGGACTAGTTTGGTCAGGGTTTAGTTTTGACGGGCAGTCACTCAGTTATGTGCCCATGGAATCCATTTACCTGTGCCACCCAGCCCCTCTGGCCCTGCCAACACAGCAATAGGACACACCCGATGCAGGGTTGCAAAAAACAAATCTGGGCAGAGCCGGACAGTGAGGAGGGCTTTACAGGGCAGAACAAGGAAATTTGGGATGCATCGGGAACAGCGGCTGAGGAGCAAGAGAAGGTTGCTCTGAAAGATTTCCAAGGCGAAGTTGGGACAGGATTAGTGGTTTAATAGTGACACTATCTCACCTGCAGTCCCGTCAGGGAGGGCATGATGTGAATGATGCATTTCTTACTGCATCTAAGTCCTGGAGGTGATGGCCTCCAGCTCATGTTGGGAAATTGTGCTGGGGACCTAATCCTGGCTCTACTCTCCTGGTTTATGGCTTTTGATCTTCTGGAACATGTTTCATGTCACGTAATCTGTTTCACTATCCTTTTTGTCAAGCTCCTCTAAAAATGAATTAGGTTCTTACTCCATCTTCCTCTACCAGTTTCCCCAGCAGCGATACCTGCTGATCTTCACTTGTACTTGCTTGATGAGAAATCCCACTCTGTCTAAAATACACAGCGGGGAGGGGAGGTGGACATGGGTGCGAGCGGCTGCGGAGCGGAGGATCGCGGTGCACGGGGGGGTTTCCTGATTCGGGGAACCTCAGGGGAGCGGAGAGGCCTCCCAGGAGCCCGCAGCTCGCGCGACAGTGGCTGACGAGACCTGGACGGGACCAGGAGCAACCGCGGCCAAGCCCTCCCCACCCCCCTCGAAAGAAACCCCTAGAGAGCGCCCTTGTACAATAGGTACGAGGCTCTGCAAGTGGAACCAAACAATGATGAGGACAATGGTTCATCTCGGTTGGAGGTGTCGCTAGGGTTAAGTCGGCCCACACCTTGCGTCAAAACCACTTCGATTAAGAAAAAAAGACAGGTTATTGTCATAGGAGACCCTATTCTGAGGGGAACAGAAGGCCCAA